ATATATATATATATATATATATATATATATATATATATATATATATATATATATATATATATGCGCATATTTTCTTGTATATATTTATTTTTATTGAATTTAATATCTCTCTATCTACCGTTTAAGACGATATAATATGCTTGTAGTATCCATATATTTATGCATGTATTTATATATTTATTTATTTGTTTATTTATTTATTTATTTATATGTTTGTTTGTTTGTGTGTAGGCATTGCTGCGTTGGTGTGGGGGGAGCGGCCCCGTCTGTCTGCAGCTGAAGTGCGTGAGGTGCTGCTGTTCTCTGTGTCTCCTCTTGCTTCGCTAAAAGATACAGTGGCGACTGGTGGGGTTGTAAACGCAGCAGCAGCAGTGAAGGTGGCGCATGCACTGAACAAGCTAGACAGCGGCATAGAGTCCCCGGAGGCTGTAGCTTTCATCCGCTGGCAGCAGCAGCAGCACATGGAGCAGCAGCAACTCATCGCAGCAAGCACCAGCAGCAGCAGCAGCAGCAACGCTGCAGCAACAAAAAACACACACGACCCTTCCTTTCCTTCTACAACAGGAGCAGCAGGAGGAGCAGCGATCCCAAGCCCTATAAACAACCCCTCTGCAGCAGCAGCAGCAGCAGCAGCACACCCAGGCGCAGTAACTTATCCCTACGATCCAACAGCAACAGCAGGATACCCTTACCCTGTTCTTGTTGTCCCCACCCCCCAGGGAACTATCCCTTCAGCAGCGTCTGCATACTCCCCCTCTCCTGATACATCCAGCAGCAGCAGCAGCAGCAGCAGCAGCAACGAGAGCAGCAAAGCAGCCACAAGCTCTGCCAGCTCCCCCCTTCACTTCTTCTCGCGGCTGCTGGACCCCTTCGCCCTCTTCGCTCGCTTCGTAAGGATGGATGCAGACACAGCTAAAAGCAACTAAAACCCATAAGGAGCAGCAGCAGCAGCAGCTGCAGCAGAAGCAGCAGCAGCAACTGCTGCTGCTGCAGGAGGACGAGGAGTACTTAGCTTTTGGCTTCCATCACAGCCCATCACTGCCAACCGGCAGGCAAAGGCCCCACACACACTACTGAACGTCCCCCTCTCTCTATCTATCTTTATATTGTATATATTCTATATGTAGAGAGAGAATACGTATGTAAATGCATGCAGGTAGCTATTAGATATTACATAT